TGCTGCGATCCTCGACGCGTTTACCAGCGCCTCGGTCTGCGTGCGTTTCCGCGTCTCGTGCAGCTCCTCGCGCCGCTGCAGCGTCTGCTCCTCGGAGGTCTTGACGCGAGCGAGAAGATCGGCGTGCGTCGCCTCGAGGACCTCGTGCCGCTGCGACGAGAGGGCTGTGCGTGGAGTGAGCGCCCAGCGGCTCTGAAGGTGGGCAGCCGCTAGCCTCCGGCGCCGCAGGGCTCACGCACCCTCAGGATGGCCTCGATGTCCTCAAAGTAGTCCGAGTGCTCGCACGCTCTGGCGAGGAACTGCTCGGGCCGCTCCAGGTTCCTCAGCGCCGCCTCAATCTCCCCCTGCGCTGCGCGCTGCCTGAGCAGCTCCGCCTCGAGCGCCACCCTCTCGGCCTCACGCGCCTCGCGAATCTTGGCCTCCTCGCCGGCCTTCCGGAGGGCGCGCGCACGCTTGGCGTCGTTCTCCTTCAGGAATTTGTCGAACTTGCGCACCTGCTCCTTGATGGCGTCCTGCCGCTCCGCCAGCTCCTCCTCCCTCTCCGTGCACCGCCGCATCCTCGAGAGGAACTCGTCCTTCTTCTTGTCGAGCTCGAGCTGCACGGCGGCCATCTCCTTCTTGCGCTGCAGCAGCTGGGTCGACTGCGAGAGCGGCACCGCCTCCTCATCTTCCTCGACGGCCGGCGCGGTCACAAAGCCGTCGCTCAGCAGAGCCACGGAGGCGGCCATGGTCGGGCTGCTGCAAGCGGCCGGTGAGGGGGCGTCGGTTACGAACGGACCGGGCTGACACGAAAGCAGGTGAGAGATCGAAGGCGCTTCTCAATGTTGTCCCGACTGAAAGACGACGTCGCCGCACTCAAACGGGAACGGGACATCGACCAGAAATTCTCGCGACAACACCGGGACCTCGCCCGACTCAAGGAGGAACTCAAGCAAGGAGGACAAAAAGATTTGATCAATTGATGGCGTTGCGCGGTATGCTGTGGAGCGCGTCCTCCCATCCCTCCCTTGGATTGTCTGTTTTCTTTCTTTCTTTCTTGAGCACTTGAGCACTGGATAGGGTCGATTCCGCATGGTACCTTGGTACGGACCCCATGAACACCCCTGTGCATGCCGTCCGCCACATGGGCTGCCATCGGCATACACAAGGCGCAAGCTCACCGAACGGCGGGAGGTGTACGCGACCCAGAAGAAATCGGGCCGTGTCGTTCCCTCCGCTGGAGAGAGGTCCATCAGTTCCCGTTCCCCAGGACACCTCCTCTCCAGCTGCGACCGTGGATCATAGCAAGACCATGAGAGTGCTCATGCTACAAGAGGAGCTTGTTCAGCAGGATCTGGGATAGTCTAGCGCACTACCTCACTGGGCCTGAGACCGCCAAGACAGCATCCCATCACCCCTCCGGGTTTGCGTGGGGTCGAACCACTCCGGGATGCGGATGGGCACGCCCATGTGATTAATTGTCAAAATTCCTGTCGTGCAAGAGGGGAGGGGGCTCGGACGGAGCGCGCGGCGGGAGAGGGCAGGGAATGGGCGCGGGGGAGGGGGGGGGGGGGGGGGGCCCACCCCGGCAAAAAGCCTTTTTTAATAATAGTAATGAAGAAATTTTGCCCGGCCCTTCATAAACTCCGCCCCCATCTGGGGGAAACCTGGAGACGGGTCAACCCCCTGGGGACCAAAACAGGTTCACATTGTCTAAACCCGAGGGGAATGTTGGCCCTTTAACCTTTGGGGGCCCCCCCTCCCCCTTTGGGGTTTTTTCCCCCAAAAAACACTTCGGGGGGAGTTTTTTACCTTTGAGGCCCAA